TTGTAGCTCCCTCTCAACATAGTGGTTGCATTTGTTTGCTCTGTTTTATGAGCTGGGCTGGAGTGGCTAGTGGGCCGTCTGCCTGCAGGCTTACGTGTTTATGCTTGCTGGCGGGGAGAAGGCAGCAAGTCAGCTGGCCTGGAAGAAGGCTGGGGCTGAGGCATTTAATAGAGCCAGATTCCTATGGCCTGTGTTTTTCTATTATGTTTTCTCTATCAACAGACACTAAAGCGGTAAGACTAGTTCGTGTTTATGGAGAACATACCATGTTCCCAGTGTTCTTCTGCTAAGCACTTTGTGTACATACTTACGGCTGTCTTGGGAAGCACTCCTATAATGTAGACCCATTTTGCTCAGATGGGAATTGTGAGTAGAAGAGGTGAAGCTACCATCCAGGGTCAGAGTTTTGATTGGTGAAGACACCTGCTTCTAGCCGGCCAGTCTCCCTCTAGAACCACGGATTCTGTCTGGGCTGTAGGGAGGTACTGCCATGAAGAGTCTGCAGTTCAGGGAGAAGCCTTCTCACCATGGAAGAAAATGTATAAACATTAGGCTAACCCCTTCTTTAATAAAGAGCCAGGCCCATAGAGGACAGTGCCCTGCCTGAGGGTCCACTAGAACGTTCTTCTGGTGAGGATGCTGCCCTTAAAGATAACGAAGCGTGTGTGCAAGCCCTGTGCTATTTCAGGGTTCACAGGACTGTGCGCCACCAGGACAGGGGTCCAGCCTGTGCCTGCTGCTGCCCGCCGGCCCTGGGCATTGTTGCCCTCAGACACTATACTAGCTGCCTTTTCTGTTACTGAATAAAATGTTCTGACCAAAGGAACTTAGAGGAGGAAAGCGTTTGTGTCATCTTAGAGGCCACAGCTTGTCATTGAGAGTAGTCAGGACAGAACCCAGGAACTATAAAAGAATGTGGCTTACACCTCCTCCTCTGCGGGCTTTCTTGGTAGGTTGTCCAGACTTACCTGCCTAGGAATGGTGTTGTCCACAGTGACCTTGGTTCCCCCACATCAATCAGTGACCAAGACATTCTCTCACAGCCATGGCCACAGTCCAGTCTGATCTGGGAAATTCCTCAGTTGAGATTCTTTCTTCCCAACTGACTCTAGGTTATGTCAAGTTGACAATAAAACCTAAGCTGGCACAATGCCAGCTGAGGTGGCACGTACTTTTAAGCCAGCACTCAAGAAGCAGAGGGAGACGGGTTTCCGTGAATTTAATGCCACCCTGGTCTATACAGCAAGTTCTGACTAGCCAGGCTTTCAGGGATTTATTTGGGGGGTGGGGGCGGGGAGATACCTGGTGTGATCTTCTGAGGTAGAAGTCCTCAAATCGTGCCCAGGGATGGAACCCCTGGAGCCCCAAAGACACTTGCTAGGTGTCAAATCTGTTTTCAAAAGAATGTGATGTTTGCTTTTAAATTTCATTTTTTGCTGTGTCCAAGGCAGTTTCTAGAGGCTTTCTGACATGATATTCTCCTGCGGTGGCTTGTGGAATGCCTGTGTGTGTTTGTGTTTCAGCATTTTCTCTGCTTTAGTTTTTGTTGGTGGCGCAGAATAAAACCAATACAAGCCTTTTGAGGGTTCAGTAACTTTTTGGAACATAGAAAGAGACTTGAGAGCAAAAATATCCAAGAATGGCTATTCTAAGGTATCGGATCCAGTGTTATCTCAGCAGGCGGGCAGGCTGCATGGAGGGCTTTCCTCAGCCTGTGGGGCTCCTACCCAGCCCTGCAGCCAACTGTATTTCTGCACAAGGGGCTGCCAGCCAACCTCAGCTGTGGGAAGAGACACTGGGAAAGACACACAATCAGTTACCCTTGGCCCCACTCCTCCATGCTGAAGCTCCTACACAGCTGTGGAGACTGGAGATGGGAGTTTTTGTAGGGATTTTCCAGAATATCCCATAATGCAGCCTGCTTTTCTCCTCGTGCCCAGTGGGTAGGACGAATTAGTAGAAAGAAAATAGCGTCCTGGAAATCCCAGCCCAGGAAAAGGATGTAACCAAGAAAACCCATGAATTGCTTATTTTACCTGCCCACGGACCACAGGTAGGGGTGAGGGTTGGGTAAACCATCCTTGGTCTGAAGAGGTTGGTTGTTGGCAAGGTCAGCTCTGCTTGGAGACAAGGCACTCACCACCCTAGAGGCAGAGGGATAATTTAGATATCTAGAGTATTTAATCAGTGTTCAATTCAGGAAACAGAAATCACTTTAGGTATTTTAAATAGGATGGGGATTAATACAGGGAATTAGATGCTAACCAAACCACAGAAAGGACTTAGGGAGCAGAGTCTAGACCAGGCTTGCAGACAACGTGGAGCTCACCCGTTAGGACTATGTCCACAGCCTCAGGTGCTGGGTTTGAGCATGTATGAGTTAGGACTGAGCCTGGGATCATGAGTCTTTTGTTTTCACTACTGTTGTCTCTGCCTCTAGCACACAAGAGAAATAGGGCCCGGACATAAGAATGTTCTATAGGAAGAGAGAATAAATACGACTTTGTGCTTATTATCACCTGATCTGTCGGCAAAAACAGTAGAGACACAAAGGTGGCCTCTGCCTCCTGTCACTTCCTGGATCTTATAAAACAAGAGCTTACTTATAAAACTGGGTTTGCATCTAGAACCTTAGTTGCAAAGGAGTCTGGGAAATGTAGTTTCCAACATTCTGGTATCTAATCAGGGTGATGCAATTGGAGGTTGAATGAGCTTTCCTCAGTATACAATTTCCGAGGCTATCCCTACTGCATTCTCTATCTAGTGAGCTCGGCGGGGCACAAGAGGGTGTGGGGGGAGGATGAGTGAGGATACCACTTGATTAAGCCTTGTGGTTCCCCATGGAGCATGCCTTAGAGGAACTGGGAAATGCCCACATAGAGGTTTAATAGCATAACTAATCTTGGTTATGCCTGCATTTAGGAGAAATGCAAGTTAGAGGCCAGCCTGGGCTACACAATGAGACCCTATTACACACACACAAGGAGGTTTAATGACTATACTCTGGCTCTTTGCTGTGCTTTTAGCTACAATAGAAAGGAATGAGCCATCCGTCTCTAGTGCTAGTAGTTTAAGTAGGTGTCCCCCTGTGCTGGCCTCCAGCTCTGTAATGCAAGAATCGGAGAATCACAGAAATTTGAGATTTCAAATGGAAGTTTATAATCTTGCAGTGATAATTCATGAATGATGGTTTTTCCTTCCTAGATTACACAAGTTCCCCCAAATGGTGTTCCCCACCTCCTAAATTAATCAATTCCATACACTTGAAAATGGAACTTTTTTTTTTTTTTAAGTTTTTCGAGACAGGGTTTCTCTGTAGCTTTGGAGCCTGTCCTGGCACTAGCTCTTGTAGACCAGGCTGGCCTCGAACTCACAGAGATCCGCCTGCCTCTGCCTCCCGAGTGCTGGGATTAAAGGCGTGCGCCACCACCACCCGGCTATGTCGTTGTTTTTAAGAAAAGGATTCCTATAGCTAGCTTCAGACTCACTTTATAGCCAAGGGTGGCTTTGAACTCCTGATCTTCCTGCCTCCATCTCCCAAGTGCTGGGTTTATAGGTGTATGCCACCACACATGGCTCCAAATGTCGTTATTTCTGAGCAGAGACCTGACTTGGTCCAAGTAAAAATCTGCCTATGTTATGCTAAGTTTCAGGTGCTAATCCATAGTTTTAGTCCATCAAGAAACATTTATTGAAAAGCTGTTGGGTCAGGTCCCTGGCTGGGTAAATACAGATATGATAAAAGCATTGTTCCTGGCCTTAGGCCAGTCCACATGAAGGTACACACGCCATCCTGGAGGAGAGTTCTAGGGGTCCTGGAGAGGTTGAGTGGAGAAAGGCAGTATTGGCTCTGTGCCTTGAAGGATAAAGAGAGGCTAGCCAAGCAGAAGTGAGAGCCCATGAGGGGCCGAGAATGAGCAGGTGTCTCAGTCAAGGTTCTGTTCCTGTGAAGAGTCACCATGACCACGGCAACTCTTATAAAGAAAACATTCGATTGGGGTGGCTCACATACAGTTTCAGAGGTTCAGTTTATTATCATCATGATGGGGAGCATGGCAACGTGCAGGCAGTCATGGGGCTGGAGGAATAGCTGAGAGTCCTACAAGAAGTTGACTGAGACACTGGGGGGTACCCTGAGCACAGGAAACCTCAAAGCCCACCCCCACAGTGACACACTTCCTCTAACAAGACCATACCCACTCCAACAAAGCCACACCTCCTAATAGTGCCATTCCCTAGGAGATTATGGGAGTCAACTACATTCACACTTCCACAGCAGGTGACTCTCGAACTCTGCTGGGCAACTGTGGTTGATGGCAGGTGTCAACCAGCACTGGGACCTGCTCTGGAGACCAAGGACAGTGAGACTTTACTGATCTCTGGTTTCCTCGTACCCCCTCTGACATCTGTGGACCAGTTAAATCACCTAAACTGAGATGTGTTTCTGTAGGGACAGATCTAGAACATCAGAATAATTTCTGCCAAAGAACCACCTTGAAGCTCCTGTCTGGCTAGTCTGCTTAGGGGTTTGTTGGGGTTTTAATAAATTTTTTGCCCTCCAGAGGAATGTGGGGGTGCTATGGGGGGACAAGTGACAGTTCCTGTCGCAAAGCTGGGCGTGGGGCCTGGGTCTGTATATAGGGCCTATGTCCAGCTGTGTTCCACTTCTGCCCATAGAAAAAGCTGGTGCTCAGATGAAGTCTTGGGATGGTCAAGCATCCCAATTACACGTGTTGGTGAACATCTTTCATTGGCCACTGAAGAGCCCTCAATTCCTGCCAGTTCCCGTGATGGAAATTCCTCCTGACCCATGACAGAGTTGCCATAGAGTACAAGGGCAAACTGGAGTCTCTATGATCACAAGTCTCCTGATGGCTGAGGACAGCCCGGCAGTTATGGAGCGGCCAGCCTTTGTGGCTATTTCCTGAGACCATGTGCTGAGGGGCCCTCTTTGTTGTGCATGGAGCACCCAGCCCTGACCTCTCTCTGCTCCCCCACAGGCCCTTCATGCTGCTTCCACCACTGATGGAGTGGATGCGGGTGGCTATCACCTATGCAGAACACCGCCGCAGCCTCACCGTGGACAGTGGGGATATCCGGCAGGCAGCCCGGCTGCTGCTACCAGGCCTGGACTGTGAGCCCCGCCAACTCAAGTATGGAGCCCGGGAGAAGGGGGTCGTGACACCTATGCCCCAGCACCTACAACACTCCTCTGCTTCCTGCTTCTTCTAGTGGTTGGGTGGGCATCGAAAAGCAAGGCTGTAGGGCACCGGAGTTTCACTAAGTATCCTCCCCAACTGCCATGGCCAAGTTGTGAGAACAGATCTGTTCTAGGCCTTGGCTGCTTTCAGGATGTGTCTTCTGCAGTCACTGGTGTGCTACCAAGACAGACACACCTAGCATCTGGGCTGGAGAGCACAGACAGTGCAAGTCTAAGGTCCTGATTGGCAAGACTCTTTCCTCTGTTCCTCTCTATTCACTCTGGTTTCCTTGTGTCGACTCCTGTATTGAGTTCTGCCTTATGCCCGACAACTTTAAAGAGGGCACTAATGCCCATACTGCAGAGGAAGCCTGCCCAGCAGGGAAGTACAGCGGCTTGTCCACAGAGGTGCCTCAGTCTGAGACCAGGTTGATATGGTCCCCAGCCTGGCGTTCTTTATGCTCTCCCTCAGGATCCCCGCCCATAGACAGGTCTGCTGCCAAAGCTCCTCTTGGGGAGCTCCTGATGGCCATCCCCCACCTAAGAAGTGACTTGCACTTCTGCTGTCTGACTGTGCCCAAACCATGCTCTAGACATGAATTTTACACACGTTGACCTAATTAAAGGACCTGGGTAGGAGCTTTTAGATGACTGTGTGCCCTGTGTAGATACAGGTTGTATGCGTGATGGTCCTTAGTAGGCTGGGTTGATTGTTCGTGGGATTCTAAGCCTTTTCCTGTCTTGTGTTTGTGTTGGGGGGTCTTACTAAGCAACCTGAAGAGACACAAGGAAAAGCTAGACCTTGGCCACAATGCCCACTTCATGGGCCAAAGGTTACCCTGCTTTGTGTAAGCACCACGCGGCGGCCAAGTGCTCAGGCACTGGCCCAGGATGAACTTCCTCCTCCTGGGGGTGGGGGAGGCTCAGGGGGTCGAGTCCCTTAATGGGTTATTTTGACCCGAGAGTTTGTTCCCTGGCAGTTGACAGGTCTCTGGTTCTCAGTCTACTGTCTTAAGCTATGTATAGGGAAACAAGGTTTGCATGCTCCAGGGCAGTGGTTCTCAACCTCTGGGTCGTGACCCTGTTGACAAGCCTCTGTCTCCGAAAGAATATTTACAATTCAGAACAGTAGCAAAATTATTACAAAGTAGCAGTGAAAATAATTTTATGGTTAGGGTGACCACAACCTGGAGAACTGTGTGGAAGGGTCACAGCGTTAGAAAGGTTGAGAACCACTGCTCTGGGGTAAGAACAGAGCAAGGCTAATCATGGTGACCTCTGCACACTCCAGTCCTCCCACCCATGCCAGCCAGGCCCGGCTGGGCCTCGTGTCACGGCGCTCCTGACACACCTCCTGGTCTCTCCTGGGCAGACCCGAATGCTGCTTTAGTTCCTTCCGGAGGCTGGACGCTCGAGCTGCTACTGAAAGATTCAACCAGGACCTGGGCTTCCGCATGCTCAACTGTGGGAGAACAGACCTCATCAGCCAGGCCATCGAGGCCCTGGGTCCAGATGGGGTGAACACAATGGATGACCAGGTACTTTCTGCGAATCCCTCTAGGGTAGGCTTGGAGGCCGCCTCTGAACTGACAGTTGCTAGGGTGGGAGAAACAGTCGTAGTCCCTGCATTCTGAAGCCGACTGAGACTCAGCTCAGAGCTTCAAGCTCCTGACAGAAGGCTAGCCTGGGCACCCCCATCCCTCCCGGACAACCGTGGTGTAGTGTGGATGGATTCTGTTTCACTGGCTGGAGGGCTAGCAAATCAGCTGTCCTAGAGGAGGCAGAGCTGAGCAAGGGTCTGGGGGAAACAGCTCGGACTGAGCAAGGGTCCGGGGGAAGCAGCTCGGTAGCAAGCCGTAATCTCTGGCATGTGAATGGGAGTGTGCGCTGGCCACTCACTAGCCCCAGAGAAACCTTGTCTTCATGGGTGACACTGGCGGGAGAGTAAGAAACAAGCATATACGCCAGGGGTGGTGGTGTGACTGGAGTCCCAGCACTTAGCAAGCTGTAGCAGGGTGGTCACGAGTTCAAGGCCAGTTTAGTGAATTCAAGGCTGAGAATGTGGCTCAGTAGTTGGATATTTTCCTACCATACTGCTGAGCTGTGTCACCAAAGGAGAGACGAGAAGGGAGGGGTGACAAACATAAATAAAGAACACACTGATGAGAAGTACCAAAGAGCAAAATAAGGAGAAAGGGCAGGAAGTACGGGGAGTGAGCTCTGAGTTCCAGAAGGGACAGCTGAAGACGCTAAAGTGGTGGCTCTCAGCCTTGGGTCACGACCCCCAGGGCACTGGTTCAGACATTTACATTACGATTCATAACAGGAGCAAAATTGCAGTGATGAAGTAGCAACAAAATCATTTTATGTGCGGGGTCAGCACAACGTGAGGAACTGTATTAGAAGGTCACAGCATTAGGAAGGTTGAGAACCACCATTCTAAGGAGTCTGCCTCCAGCTCGTGCCCACTATGGGCATCAGTTATTGTGCTCCAGCTGGCACCGTGTGGCCTGGAAGCCCACCCAGAAGCCCGGGGACAGTCTGGTTACTATGGAGGTTCAAGTCCTGGTGTCAGATGAAACGACAGTACGGCACAGGCTTGAGCAGCAGCTGAGGCCTGAGGCCTGGAGCGCTGTGTGGAGCTGAACCTGAGCCTGGAAGGGAAGGCAGGGTTGGTGCCGCAGGAGGAACAGGGAAGTCAGACCCAGGGAAGCCACTGTGAGGCAATTGTGAGGCAACTGTAAGCAAAGGTGGCCGGGCTGGGACTGAGGAGCCACAGAGGGAGGAGTGTCAGCATTCAGTGTTAGGCTGAGCCTAGTCCCACGCAGGTGCAGATGCAAGGCCTCTGTACAAGCCTTCTTCCTGGTGTCTGCTTCCTCAGGGAGCGCAGCACTGAAGCCCAGGCACTTAAGCTTTAGATTGTGGGCACCTTTGGTCTACCGTGTCACAGCTGAGGTATCTGACAGGTTAGCCTGCCACCCTGCCTGGCTTTCCTCACCTCTCAGGTGGAGTAGCAGGACCTGTGTGCAGAACAATTGGGAGAATTTTCTGTCCGGCGCCCTCAGCGTTAGTAAATCTTCATGTGGTTCTTTCAGTATGATTAGCACTGCTGTTGCATTGCTGTCAAAGCGGTGGTGATTAGCCCTGAAATCTGCTCTCTCAGCTCCCTGTGTGCCCGAGTGAGGGTAGTAACAGCCCCCAAAACAGTTGCTCTCCTCCAGCTGCTGGCTCTGCGTATGTACAGACATGTGGAGACAAAGCCATTGTGTACCTGGTGTGTGTGTGTGTGAAGTGTGGAACAAAGCCAAATTCCCGTCACGCCGCCGCTGTCTTTTCTGTAGATGCCTGGCACTGTCGCTCCCTGAGCCTTGGCGTTTAGATGCATAGCTAAACAGGCCACTCGTCCCAGGATTATCTCAAGCCATTTCCTTATCTCCAGGAACTAGACAAGGATTTATGAGCTAAAAAGATCTTCCCTCCACACAAATAACCTAATAAATAATATCACAGAGCACCAGAGAAAGGCTTGCCAGGATCCAGCTGTGGAATGCACTTTGCACCGCTGCCTTTGCCATCCGACTCCCAGCCCCGCTAACTGCCCACATAGATGCAGTGAGCGGATGGACACACCTCGCGGTACACTCCAGACTGCTCGTTGACACAAGATGTGATCAAGCGCATCTCCACAGAGACACCGCTGAGCACAAGCTTTAACAGTTCATGTAGACCTGGGTTCTGATCCAGGTCCCACATCCTGTTTGTTACAGGACCTTGGACAGTTAGCTCCCCATTCCTGCCCCTCATGCATACCATGAGGACAGCAGTAGAAGCCCCCAATAGCCCCCAATAGTAGGAATAAGCACAGTGATTGAATAAGATGCTGCCGAGTGGAGTCGCTTCCTGCAGCGAGTCCAGGCACTGACCCGTGGTGGGCTCTTGTGTACAGTTACACTATTAGTTACACTGTTAGTTAGTTTAGGGTTGCAAGCCTACTCCGTACGTACTGAGCACTGTGTGTGTGCTTGAGACCCTTCTGCAACTACCCGAGGTGCACGCTATTTCTTCAGTCTAAGATGAGGACACAGAAGCAGAGAGAAGAAAACGTTGGCCCTGGAATCTGGCTGCAGTGCCTGCCACGTGGCCATCTAGTTCACCCCTATGCTGTCCATGGTGCTTGTGGAAATGCCCCCTGTCTCGCCTTCCAGTGTCCTTGACCCTGGGAGCTTAAGATGCACAAGACACAGGAGCAGCTGGGCAGAGACCTGGGGGATATGTGATGTGTGTTCTGTCTCTGGGGATTTAGCATCCACCTTTGATTCCCAGGGTATGACGCCGCTGATGTATGCCTGCGCTGCTGGGGATGAAGCCATGGTCCAGATGCTAATTGATGCTGGAGCCAACTTAGATATACAGGTAAAAAGAAACTCTTGCTCCAGACCCAACCCAGTGAGAGGCCACTCCAAGATCCCTAGCAGCCGGGCTTGCTGTGGTATTTTACAAGTACTCAGTAGATGTGTCTCGTTAGACTAGAAATGTGTACAAAGACCACAGAAAAGAACCGCGCATGGTGCACATGCCTGTAATCCCTGCACTCGGAAGACTATGGAGGAAGATCCCAAGTTTGAGGCCATCCCGTGGTACACAGGAAACCCTGTTTTAAAAACAGGCTAAGAGAAGAGAGATGGCAGTCCTCTGGGTTTGGGCTGAAGTTTGAGTAGAGGGAATGGCCATAATTCCATTCTCATAGCCCTTGTCCTCTATCACGAGGCTAATCCCTGGCTGTCCCTGTCTCTGCTCCTTCCATTACATACAGTGTTCCCCTTCTGTCTTCTTCTGCCTACGGTCTACATCACCAGATGGACACTCAGCCTTTTCCTTTGAACCTTGTCCATGCCAGTGCTCTCAGCAGACATTACCAGGCGAACGTAGCTGCACTTCTGTTAACTTTGCCACGCTCGCATCCTGTGTCGTCTGCTCTGGCATGTCACCTGTCCAAGAAACAGTGATGATTTGGTATATTTTTCAGGTTCCGAACAACTCTCCCAGGCACCCCTCCATCCACCCGGACAGCAGGCACTGGACCTCCCTGACATTTGCAGTGCTGCATGGGCACATCTCTGTAGTGCAGGTGAGCTCCTAGGAGGGGGTGGCATGTGCCACAGCTCGCCAGCTAGGCTGGGCCCCAGGCTTAGCCCTGGCCAGAGACACTGCTGCAGCCAGGGTCCACCTGCCCGATAAAGCTCACCTGTAAAAAGAGGAGATCCGGGCTCAAGCAGTGTCTCTCCTAGGGAGTCCTAAAAGACCTGGACTTTGGCCTTCTTCATCTCACACCTTCAACCCTCTCCTGGCCACAGGCTCTTCCCTCAGAGTTGGCTCTGCATCTTGGTGTCCTTCAGTCCTGTCCCCCCCCCCCATTTCCCAGTTCCTGAGAAAGGACAGATGGCACAACTCATGTGTCTGTCAAGCCTCAGTGTTGCCCGCCTTGCTTTGGCTGCTAAGGCTGGCATCACAGTGAGGTGATGGTTCAGAAGGAGGTACCAGTGACGAGATAGTTCACAGGACTTCTGGTCAGTAATATCTGCAGGACTTCACAGAGCTCCCTCTGGGTGGGCACCGCCCCCTCCTCCTCTTCCAGGATACAAGGTCTCTGAGGGTAACCCAGTCAGCTCACCTGCAGTAGGCAGCACAGCCTGGCATGCAGCCAACACTCTGTAGGTGGTTGTTGACCAGTTGGCTACTGTACCCAGCCTTTGTAGTCGCCACCCTCCCAGAGCTGCAGCCTCAGTCCAGGCTGTGGGCTGTGCCCTGGATTGGTCTGGTGCCCAGTTTCATCCAGTAGGCAGGTCTCCACCCCCACTGCCATGCCCCAGCAGCTGGCATATCTGGTTTCTGACGGACGAGTCTCCAGCAGATACAGGCCGTCCCTGTGCCCCACGTCCTACAGGGGAGCGTGGAGCTCACCTGGGCTCCTGGAATCTGGTTGCCAGGGAGGGGTGATCAGAGACTTGAGGTGTGTGTCTCCAGGAGCCTGGGAGTGTCTGAAGCAAGCAGAATGCAGACAACACCCCTGCCCTAAGGCAGACCCTTAGGGAACAGATAACCCTACCTCCCCTGACCCCTGGCAAAGTAGAATGAGGCCACTTGCACTCCTAACCAGTCTGTGACATTCTGCTCCTCCCTACCCCTTGCCCGCCTGGGTAGCTGCTGAACCTCTCTAGGGAGGAGCCCAAATGCTGCTGGTTATGAGCCCTCAGTGGGTTGGACATCATATCATTTAATGTCAGGAATGCTGCCAGGCAGTCCTCTCCCCCACTCTATAGATAGGGAAGACAAGGGCTCAAGCCTCTCTAGTCAGTGGCCAGTGCTATACCCCATGCTTTTTGCACCCGCTACTGTTCAGGACCTCATTCCCCTCCAGGGATGTCAGGTGACACTTGCCTGTCCTCCAGGTCCCTGAAGCTGATTGATGGGAAAGATTTGCAAAGAGAAAGCATAGCTGCAGGTCGTCACAGTTTAGGGGCTTTGTGCATGGCCTCATGCATGGAGATGACGCTAGCTCCCCGAGGGTGACCAGGCATCCCAAGACTCCAGTGTGAGCCATTTCTTGGTCGCATGTCTGGAGACTTGCAGGTCCTGCCCCCCAGAGTACTCCACCCTTCCCCAGGCACCCCATTTTGCTCATTATTGCCTTCTCCTGTCCTGGACAGCTGCTACTGGATGCTGGTGCTAACGTGGAGGGCTCGGCAGTGAACGGAGGGGAAGACAGCTATGCCGAGACGCCCCTGCAGCTGGCCTCTGCAGCTGGTAGGTCCACTGCTCCCTGATCAACAGGTTCTCACATCTCTATGATGTTCTGGCCTTGTCACCCTGGTGGTCACTGGGTTACATGCTACCTCTGAGAACCCTTAAGAAAGGCTACCAGGAGGGGGTTCTTGCTGAGCACAGGGTCCAGTAGAGCAGGGAGCCCTCCTCTCCTTAGGCCCTAGGCAGGGCCTGTGGTAGGATCACAGTCACCTTCTCATAGCTCACACTTGCATCATTATCACCCCCGTTTGTGACTGTGTTCCCACCATCACCACGTATTCTGAGGACCAGATAGATCTTGGAGACCCTGTCTGCCCCATCTTGGTTGCCCTACTCAGATGCTATCCCATCAAACTTTTCGCTGCCGCCTGTCTTTCAGGGAACTATGAGCTGGTCAGCTTGCTACTGAGCCGGGGCGCTGACCCCCTCCTCAGCATGCTGGAAGCCAACGGCATGGCCTCTTCTCTCCACGAGGATATGAACTGCTTCAGCCACTCGGCTGCCCATGGCCACAGGTACAAACTGTGGGGTGCCTGCCCTAACCAGGAGCACTGAGATGTGCTCTCAGGAGCCTGGGCTTCCAGAGGCTGCAGAGGAGCCAGGCCTGGTGACATCTCCTGAAGCCAGGGCTCAAGTGCATGTCAACCAGGATGACGAAGGTTCTTGGTCAGCATGGAGGCCCAAGGCTTTGGAGGCCTGGAACCACTGGATGAGTTGCTGGGCCCTGATACACGGGCACTGACTGGGACCTGCACCTCCCATGTTGGGGTAGCCCATTCCTTTTTTAGCAGAACAGTTAGTCCTGTTGCTGCCAGGGCCACCTAGGACCACACCTCTGTGAAGGTGATGCTGTTTTTCTAGTGCCTGTGGTGCTTCTAGAACACCCCAGGGTTTCCATTCAGAGCATAGGCCAGCCGTGAAGAGGCTGCTGGTAGCTCCTGGAACAGATGGCAGACCTGTCTGGCCTTGTGACTGAAACCAGAGCCATTAGGCAGTATTGGGGATGTGGCACAGAGGGGAACAAGAGAAGAGGTTACTAGAAGACAGAGAAGGAAACAGGAAAGAAAGACTGAAGGGCAAGGTGCCATTGTGCAAGTTAGGGTGTCTTACCACCACCAGACATATGCCCCTGCCATGCCTTACCCCGCAGTGCTGGCCCCTGCACCTTTTTCCAGACCCCACACCCTCCCCATTAATGTACTGGAAGAATGCAGCAAGGGCTGGCAGACTTGCTCATTGTGAGATAGGCTGCTGAGGAGTGGCTGCTGTGCCTTGCTCCGTGTGCATCTCATGGTGCATCTGCTGCCTTTGCATCAGACTGGCACCCTGTCTTAAGGTGCAAGGCAACCAGGGCTCAGAGAGGTAGAACAGCCTGAGACCATACAGCCAAGTGCAAAGCTGACTCCAGTCATACCAGGACAGAAAAAAGATGGTGTTCTTACCCCTGTCACTTCTGGGGTTGGGGAATGCTGAGAGCCCTCAGTTGCCCTGAAGTAACCCATCGTAGCCACAGGGCTCTAGACCATAGCTCAAGTGGGCACTGTGTGTCCATCTTGGGGACCTCGGGACTCATCTTGATACCTCTTGGCTTCCAGGAACGTCTTACGGAAGCTCCTGACTCAGCCGCAGCAGGCTAAAGCAGATGTGCTGTCCCTCGAAGAGATCCTGGCTGAGGGTGTGGAAGAAAGTGACACGTCGAGCCAGGGCAGCAGCGAGGGGCCCGTGAGGCTGAGCCGTACCCGCACAAAGGCCCTGCAGGAAGCCATGTACTACAGCGCCGAGCATGGCTACGTGGACATCACCATGGAGCTGAGAGCACTGGGTAAGGAAGGCTGTTCACATGGGACAGTCACTCCACTGCTCGCGGGGTCCCAGGCTGCTGCTCGCGGGCCCACTGCTCTCCTCTCTGATGGACCACCAGGAGTCCTTACAGGACCCTGAAGATTACAAAGATCTGGGTGTCTGCTTGCTCAGCCGGATCTTAACCCTGGGATCTGAGCCTGGGGGCTCTGTGTTCTCCGGGGAGGCTAGTCAGCTGGATAGACTTGAACCAGATCCTGTTAGCTCTACAGCACAGGATCTCCCCAATTCTCCCTTCCCACTTCTGTGTGGGTTTGTGCTAATGATCCTCAACTAAGAACAAGATATCAGCTAGAGCACAAGGCATGCCACATTATCATGGGGCCAAAGGCCAACCCCTAGAGTGGTGCCTCTCTGCCTTCCTAATGCTGTGGCCCTTTAATACAGCTCCTCATGTTGTGGTGACCCCAACCACAAAATTACTTTTGTTGCTGCTCGAGTGCCCTGTATATTTTCTGGGTCACCCTTTCTGAACAGGTTCTTCTCGGCAGATAAATTCTCGGGGCCAACAAGCAGTAGGCCCTGAGCTTGGCTGAAGCCCCTCCTCCATGTCATCTGATGAAAAAAAGCCAAAGCTTCCATGCCCCGCCAGCTGGGCCTGATGACAGGAAATCCAGCTTTATCCACAAAGCTCAGCGCAGGGGCTTGCAGCACTCGGCTGGGCAAGGGTGCCAATACCGTGGGGCTTGGGAGGCAGAGCCCACCCTGGAAAAGGTGTGGTCTACACGCTGTGCTTTACCGGGAGGGGATGATGGCTGCCCTTCTCTCCCTCCGGCCAGGTGTGCCCTGGAAGCTGCACATCTGGATAGAGTCCCTGCGGACCTCTTTCTCGCAGTCCCGGTACTCCGTGGTGCAGGGCCTCCTGAGGGACTTCAGCTCCATCAAGGAGGAAGAGTACAACGAGGAGCTGGTGACAGAAGGCTTCCAGCTCATGTTTGACATCCTCAAGACCAGCAAAGTGAGTGGGGCCCGACTGCCCGACCCGGCGCTCAGAGCCCCGGGTTCCAGGTCCCAGGGCTGTCGTATCAATTTACATGCACAGACACCCCCACACACATGGACAGCCCAGGCACCTCCCCGACACCCAGAGTCACACTGCATGACTGCCAGAGGGCAGAGGCCATAGCAGTCCAGGCTGGAGCCCGGCCAAGACAGCCATTTGGGACATCACAGATGAAGTGGCGGTCCATTCTGGCCAAGTCAGATCCAGCAGGAGCAAACAGCAGCGGCTGCTCTGATCCTGGCCTGGGGTTCTGAAAGGAGCCTGATTGTAACTCCAGCCACCGGCAGCCACATGTATGTGCTGACAGTCCTCTCTCCCCGCAGAATGACTCCGTCCTTCAGCAGCTGGCTGCCATCTTCACACACTGCTACGGCAGCAGCCCCATTCCCAGCATCCCGGAGATCCGGAAAACCCTGCCAGCCAGGCTAGGTGCGGGCCATCCCCCATCGCGCTTGCCTCCTTTCCTGTGTCTAAGGCCCGAGCCTCAGTTTCTCTAGTCCTTGCTTTGTGCCCTATGTCCACCCCCAGCCCTCTTAGAAACCCTGGAGACGGACACCCTGCCACTCCCTCTGTCTTCCCACCCACAGATCCTCACTTTCTGAACAACAAGGAGATGTCGGATGTCACCTTCCTAGTGGAAGGAAAGCTGTTTTATGCACACAAAGTCCTTTTGGTGACGGCGTCTAACAGGTAGGCAGCCTGGGTGGCAGCGCCGGCCCCAGGGGCACAGTGCGGTTCTTCCAGCATTGAGGTGTGTCGGGAGTCCTCCCCAAGATGGAAACGAACATGCATCCACCCAGAGAGCAGCCAACGGATGGTTTCTCGTGTGTGTGTGTGTGTGTGTGTGTGTGTGTGTGTGTGTGTGGAGTGAGATGAGGGGCGGTGGTGGTACTCACAGGAACATGATGCCCCAGACTCAGCCCCAGCATGGAAGCTGCATCTCCGAAGTTCCTGGCCTGACTTGCCCAGTCTCTTCTTCCCAGGAATCATTGCTGCCTGCCTGTATAAACTTAGGGCATTTTTTAGGTTTCAGGGGCTTCCTCAGAACTGTTTCACTTCCAACCCTTGTTCCATCTACTATAGAAGAAAGAGCTACACCAGGCGACAGGAATACTGGAGAAAAGGGACCAAGGGAACATGATAGTCTCTGCCCCATGGTAACAGAGCTCCCTCCAGCCTCTGGAGTGCACTGTGGACTGGCCAGGTGCAGCAGGAGCAGAGTCCAGCACGCAGAGGGAGTTCCAAGGGCTGCTTTCTGCTGGGTTACTGCAGCTGTCTGTCAGAACACAGAAGTATTCGGAATGAAGAGCCAGCACTCACCACAGGCTTCAGGCCACTGTGTGGGGAGCGGTGGTAGGGACAGAACAGAGCTGGCCCCAGCTGTCCATGCTGGATGATATAAACTGTCACCTGCCAAACATTAGTTTAGGAACAGGACGGTCATTTTTAGCATTCCAGCTCCCAGAAGCTGCTCCAGTGAACGTGCTGTTGGCACAGCAATGGATCCCATGTTCAAGCCCCACCCGGTCTCCTTGTTCCAGGTTCAAGACCTTAATGACCAACAAATCAGAGCAAGACGGGGACAGCAGCAAGACGATTGAGATCAGCGACATCAAGTACCACATCTTCCAGGTACGTGGGCCTCAGGGCTGCACTCAGACTGCAAGTCCTCTGTGCAGCCCATCTTGGGCCTATCTGTCTGGTTGCTCTGTCCTCTAGGCCTGTGTGATTATCAAGGTGGCTCAGCCGGAAAGTGACAGCCACTAAGGCTAAGAAGGAATTAGATGAAGGCTCAGCTACTAGATGGGAAATCAGTGGGATGTGGAGGGAAGAACAGATAGGACCTTGGAGTCAGTGACTGGGGCTGGAGGCAGCGAGGAGAGACCTGGGGCTTCTGGCCTGCGGGTAGAGGCTCTCTCATCCCTGGGGAAGGACAGCTCCAGAAGCTAGTTTGGCCAAGTCACCCAAAAGTGCAGATGACTGAAACCTGAGGGAGCTGTGCTCAGGTGTAGGCTGGTCCTGGAGAGCCGCGGGATTGGTGGAGAGGTAGGGAGATGTGTATGCACTCAGCCTTGGGGCCGAGGAAGGACACCTGTGCCAGGACAAATGAGAACAGGGGCCTAACACGCTGGCACACATGGGCCTTAGAACTGTTAACCCTCAGCCCCTCTTGTGGAGGAGCTGGTCAGCATGGAGGCCCGAGGTTTTGGAGGCCTGGAAACACTGGATGCATTGCTGGGCCCTGATACAGTGTGAGCCAGTAATTCAGATCTGGCCCCGGACACCTACCTGCATGGATCCCCTGGGCCCACCTTTAATTATATACTCCAGCATATAAAAGGCACTTTGATATATGCACTCCAACATTATCAGTGGCATAAAAAACTGAGATGTTTCTTTTTGTAGTATGGTAGAAACCCAGGGCCTTCAGCTTGCTAGACAAGCACTCTGTTGCTAAGCCACATCCTGGAAGAGCTGATACACCTCTGTCCCAACTGAGTGAGCATACCAGGTCTGAGACTGTGTCCTGGTGGCCGAGGAGACACGCAGCACGCAGGGGACAGACACTAATGAGCTACTATGTGGTGGCTGTGCAGGCTCCAGCTGGGGCTACAGAAGCCGTGGGAGCCTGGCTTGCCGTTGGGAGCCTGCCAGTACCTGGCTGAGCTGCCCACATGCTGTCGGGCTTTCTCCTAGACCCTCTGGTGCCTCTCCAGCCTGAGGGCCAGGCCTGACAGACTCTGACTGTGCCTGCTGGAGCCTTGTTTACTCACACGCCTGCCAGCGCCTTGCTGGGCTGTTTCCTCAGCCAGCCAGAGAGAACTGTTTCCCTCTTTCCAACTGGGAACCTCCCCAGGTTCCAGCGCAATGGCGGTATTTGTGACATAAATGTCAGAACTCAATGTAGCTGCCCACTCCTAGGCCTGCACATGGAATCCCAGCACCCACTTCCTAAGAGCCCCAGGCAGGTCTCAACCAGGCAGCAAAGTGAGCACTTTCTTTCTTGGGGCAATCTGTCAAGGTCTCAAAACGTGGTCTGCTTAGACAGTCGGCCCCATACGCGGGCCCCTCAGCGCCAATCAGACTCGTTTGGCTTTTGAGAGTCTCACTCTGTAGACCAGACTAGCCTTGAGCTTGCCGTCCTCCTGCCGCGCTCGATTACAGACCTGTACCAACACGCCTGCCATATGTAGAATCCATTTTATACCTTTGTTTTGTTTTGAGACGGGGTGTCCCCAGCTGGTCTGGTGATGTGTTGCTCAGGGTGGGCCTCAAACTTGAGCAACCCTCCCATCTGAGCTTCCTGAATGCTGGGATCCTAGGCATGGACCAGCACACCTGGCTCATATTGAAATTCTGTACAAAAGAAGCAAGGAGCATTCTGTAGGGTGTGGGGGGGGGGGGAAGAGTGTAGGAAAACCCTGCTGGGGATCAGAACCCCGGGTGACTTGAGACCAGTCACCTTCCCTCCTGGGCTGCAGGGCTTTCAAGGGGCAGGCTCGTTGTTGTGGCAGGACGCTAGAGGGTCAGAGTTGGCAGCACAGCTGGGCAGCACATGGGTAGCGTTTACACGGGTCCTCTTCCTCCACCGCAGATGCTGATGCAGTACCTCTACTATGGAGGAACAGAGTCCATGGAGATCCCCACTGCGGACATCCTGCAGGTATGCAGCCCAGAATCCTCCAGATCTTCAGCTCTGACCTCAGATACACGCGGGGACCTATTATCACCTGAAGTAAGGGCACTTACTAGAGACCAGAAATTGGGCACACCCTCAAGCCCAGCTTCCTTGGCCATGCCTGTGGTTAGAAGGGTACACTCGGCTGGATGGTTCAGTGCAGGAGGAACAGACAATGGCTGAGCCTCCTGCTCACCTGCATCTCAGGCATATAGCTCAGGCTCACGTAGGTAAATACCCTGACCTGTAGCCCACATCTATCACCCATCCTGTACCTCTCACACTCCAGCTACCAAGATGGCCTAGAGCAGGACTGTCACAGGGCCGCCATCTCTTCTCAGACTAGTCTGACAGGAGGGCTGGGTACTGGGGCTTAGGAGAAAGCTTTAATTTCTTGCTTTTATCCCCTGACTAGCTGCTGTCAGCTGCCAACCTGTTCCAGCTGGACGCCCTGCAGAGACACTGTGAGATCCTGTGCTCCCAAACCCTTAGCGTGGAGAGCGCAGTCAACACCTACAAATACGCCAAGGTAAGGGCTGGGGACACCAAGCCACTGCCCACCACGCTCCACAGCACAGGCTAGGAAATGTATGTGGCCAGACCACTTGAAGGCCAGCAGAGGGGCTGGGGGGGCTTAAAGCCCCAGCCGGAGTCCCTGCTCACTGGTGGCACTGACAGTGCTCAGGCCCCAAGGTGGCTGGCTGTGTGCAAACAAACAGAAGCCAGCCCATGGTGGACCTGACAAGACTCCCAAGATCCTACATTCATTTCCTGCCCCGGGGCTCAGAGCACTTCCCAAGACTAGCCAGCCCTGTGTCTCTATCAGATGGTGTCCCCAGGCCTCAGACAGCTTTTATTGTCCACCTGCAGTCACCTGGCTCTCCGTGATTCCTTGGGTTTTATCCTCCATGCCCCAGAATGCCTGAGAGTGACCTCAGCACGCATGCTCAGGGCCACACTCAAAGCCAGTGGTTGGTACTTGTTGAATTAGCACAGCTTTAGGTCACTGCCCATAACCTGTGGCTTTGTGCTGGGGAGTGCACAGTCCTTGCCCTTAGGAAAGGAGCTGTCTAATACAGGTGTCCCTGTGACACAGGTAAGGAATAGGATAGGCCTTGGTGACCAACTGAGACTTGAACCAGGCACCCCCGGGAGATACTCACAGAAGGGAAGGTGGCTTCCAGAGGCAGACAGGGACATCTCCCTAGGTCAGGGCTGAGCCCTGTTGTGAGCAGAAGACATTTGAAGTTGGGGGTGGTAAACAAAGACCATGTGCCTCAATTCTCTCCCTACCCACAGATCCACAACGCCCCAGAGCTGGCCCTGTTCTGTGAGGGCTTCTTCCTCAAGCACATGAAGGCCTTGCTGGAGCAGGACTCCTTTCGGCAGCTCATCTATGGCCGGAGCAGCAAAGTCCAGGGCCTGGACCCACTGCAGGACCTGCAGAGCACCCTGGCGGAGCGAGTGCATTCTGTCTACGTCACCTCCCGGGTGTGAGGCAGGGTGGAGGGTGACTGCTGTCTGTGGGTGTGCAAAGGTCTGCCCTTGGCACCTCCAGAGGAGGGAGGCTCATGGGTGTGCTTCCTGCTCTTCCCCAGATAACCCTCTGTGGTGTTGACTGATCCTTGGGTGGGCAGAAAGCCCACTTCACTGTTGCTCAACCAGTAACTGGCAGGGTGTGTGACATCATTTGCACCCTGAGGGCTACCCTGTGTCCTCTCTCCTCCAGTGGCTCAGCAGCAAGCTGACCCATCTGCCTGGCTGGGATGCTTTCCTAAATGCCACACAGAGGAAAGGCTTTCCAAATCCTGTCCCCCAAGCTGTGCCTTTGAAAGGGCTGGTGGCCCCTGTCTGCCTCCCTGTAAGACTACTAACTTGGAGTCTGAGCTCAGAGCGTCTGAGTTGAGGGTGTGATGGGGTATAGTACAGGAACGCAGGGACCTCAGCTCTCGCTGCTACAGCTAAGCAGCCAAAGGAAAGAGGCAGCTGTCGACCGCCCACCTAGCTCTCGTGTCTGCAGACTCGGGCAGCAGTGCTCCCGTGGTCTCAAGTGCAAGGTTCCTTTCACTCAGGACTGGAGCGCAAGAGCACACTTCTCTCTGGGATCTGTGACTCTTGGGCATGAAGGACAGGGCCTTGGTGGAAGAGAAGGGGTGTCCCCTCGCCGCCTGCCCTCAGTCTTGGCTTCCCATCCTCTGCCCTGTTTCTGGACAGACGCTGGGACAGCATCAAGAACAGCTACCTTAGAAACTATTTATTCATCAGAAGCCCCTGGGGCTTGCAATCCTGGAAAATATTTTCAGCTCGCTGCTTGTGCTGGATGTACAAAAGAATGAGTGGTATTTTATTGCTGTAATATTGTATGATACTGTAACTATACCTTAATGTTGTCACTTACTGTAAATGGACTATGGTTTTATCAACAATAAACACGCATTAACAATGGCCGTGGAATCTGTTCCTGGTAAGACTGCCTAGAGTTCCGAGCTGGAGAGGAGCCCCAGTGGACCATGGGGGAGCCGGAGCTAAGTCTGTGCCACGGGGCAGAGAGACCCTACAACAGAGCTACCTCATAGCATCCACCCACCTACCCAGCTGCCAGTCTGACTGTCCTCAGATGGGCAGTGAGGCAGATGAAAATTCATATGTGCCATTGGGCGAGAACAACGCTGAGACCGGGAAGATACGTCAGTGGCCTTTTCTGACCTTATGGCCCCGGAACCCTCCCTGCAGACGAGATGAGGAAGCTACTTCAGTGCTTGTGGACTTGTCCCAGCTCCACACTGCATGGTCTGATGAGAAGCACCTGGTATAAGGGCAGGAGCAGAAGTTCGAGGCCAGCCTGGGCTAGGAATCTTTGCTAAATATACCACCCATCCTCCCACTTCTTAAGATCACCATGAACTGAGCCCAAGGGCTAGCATTTAGTAGTGTCCTGGAACTCTAGTTGGAAGAAGACAGAGACTCCAGGAACGGCACAGTTCCTAGCTCAGCTGAAGTGGAGGCCAGGCAGAATGGCTTGAGCCTCAGTCTGCGACTCAACAGTGCACCACACCGCCCTCTGGGGGCCACAAAAGTAGATGCCGTCCTCAGTACCACCCTGAAGATGGACCGGAGAGGTTTGTCTGGCCACTCCACCTGCAGGAGCTGTTTGAGCTAAAATGGTGGGTGTGCTTACAATCCAGCTCGTAGTTTCTCTGCAGAGACGATAGGAGGATTGAGGGGTTCAATCTCTAGGCTTATATATAAGCACACTTTTAAACGAATATTTAAAATAATCATTTTTTAAAAATATTATCGGTGCTGAAATAGCTCAATGGGACATTTGCTGAGCTCAGATCCTAGCACATATGTAAAAAGCTAGGTGTAGCCATGTGCACCCCCTGTAGCCCGTCAGTACTGTGGGGGCCCGAGAGACGCTCACTGGGGCTTGCTGGCTGCCAGTCTAGCTCCAGTTTCAGTAAGAGAGACCTTCTCTCAAAGGAATAAAATTTACCTGTGTGTGTGCGGGCTTATTTTAGAATATGGCCAATAATTCCATCACCCCGAGAACAACCAGCACGCAGACTGGACCCACTGTGGTCATGAGTCGGACACTGTTCTAAGCAGCTGCTTCTGTTCCTCGTGGCTGGAATAAGTGTCATCACCACCACTCAACTGTGACCCACTTGAACCCGGAGCAAGGTGAAGCATGTCATTTTTTAACAATATCCAGGCTGAATAGTTTTTAAAGAAAATTAATTTCACTAAGAAGGCAGTGGCAGGTGGATCTCTCAATTTTGAGGCCAGCTTAGTCTACAGAGCAAGTTCCAAAAGAGCCATGGTTATATAGAGAAACCCTGTCTAGAAAAACTAGAGAGAGACGGAGTGGGAGAGGGGTGGAGGAGGAGAATTAATTCTGTAAGTCCAAGCTTGAGAGGCATAATCTGATGAGGCCGTGGTGACTCTAAATAGGGTGGCTTCCCGTGTGTGACAAGAAGGCTCACCTAAAGCCCAGCAGGCTTTTACAATGGCCTACTCTCAAGTCAACCCACTAAAGCCTTCCTAACCGCCTTTCCTCCTCACTGTTCCAAGTGAAGACAGGGGACATCTGAACCACACAGTGCCCAGATCTCAAAGAGGGTAGAGCCACAGCCAAGCTCACGCGGGCCTGGCCTTACAATCCTTGGCCTCGCAGCCTGGACAGAGCCAGTGGACACCAGGCAGGGTGTGCAAGCCGCCCAACTCTTCTCTGCCAGCACCCGCATCCTGGCTTCTGGCCCTGTTCTCAGATCCTCCCTGAACAGCAGGCTAGGGAGGCTACCCAAGAAAACAGTGAAAAAGACCCCTCCCTCTCCTGGCTCCTCAGCAAGCTCCCCTGCAGACAGTGGTAGGGGTGTAGCCCTCGGGTGGGCAGGGGAGTCACATACTCATCACCTGTTGGTCCAGAAGCTTCCCTCCTTGTCTACTTCTGCCAACGAGTGCTGAACAAATGGTACAGAACATCTCCTGCAGGTGCCTAGACTAGAACTCTAGATCCACAACACACCATGGCCTGGACACCTGGGCCTCCACTGGATCTGGCAGTCAGAAGTCACCAGAAGGAACAGGGAAACATGCAGCTTTCACAGACGTGGATTTTATAAGCACCACAGACAAACAGTCTATGATGTCGTTTGTTAAAAATAGACAGACACTGTCCCTCCCCTCACTTCTGTAGCACGAGTCTCTCTTGACAGTCTCTCCTAATGAAGAGGCAACCAAAAGGCATTGAGGGGCTCAGACGTTCCTGGGACACTGAGGACAGCAGACCCACTGCAGCCAGGAATGGAACAGAAGGGACAAGTGCAGGCCTCAGGGGGCTGGAACAAGCCTGCAGTGAGACAGAGCACTCCACGAGGAAGCTGTGTACTGAAGGGTCCAGAAGGCCAGGAACCAGTGCAGCATCCCCTAAGTGGGAACAAGTCTGAAAGAAAACCTGGCCCAAAGTGAAACTGTGGCCCTTGGTTGGAGTGACAGCTCTGGCAATGCCAGACTTGCCCCAGCCACCGTGTTCTAAGCAGACTGGGGGTCTTCAGTCACGGAGGACACAGGTGAGAGCCAGGCCTGCCTCCAATGAAGACTCATTTCTGTTACTGTCCATGCTGCTGCCTGGCCCGGCCAAACACAGCTCAAAAGTCCGGGTCTCCGAGTCTCACTACTTTTTCCGCTTCAGTTTCGCATCCTTTCTGTTGTTCATCTCTCTCTTCTTCAACTTCTTGCTATGTTTGGGTTCTTGTTTTGTTTCCAACTTCCTCTTCTTGTCACTGGAGGAAAAACCCACACCATCAGAGGCAGAAACCGAAAGCATCAACAGCACAGATCTACAACTCCAGCTCCAGGGATCTAATGCCCTCTTCTTGCCTCCACAGGCTTTAGGCACATATATGGCACACACAGATACATACATAGATGCCGGCAAAAACACTCATAAAATTCTCTTTTTAAAAAGGGGGGGGGCATGCAGGCCTCAAGAATGTTCAAGGACAGACTGAGCACTTCACCTCACTGATGTGGGATGCCCTTCTGTTCACTGTCAATATGGGTTGCTTTTATTGTCTGATGAATAAAGCTGTTTTGGCCTATGGCAGGGCAGAATATAGCCAGGGAGGAAGAAGGTGGAGTCGGGGGAGACACCTGCAGCCACCGGAGGAGTAAGATGCCGGAGCATCACCAGGAAGCCACTGGGACATGGCGATACACAGGTTATTATTTATTATATGTAGAGTTAGCCAGGAAGAAGCCTGAGCCATTGGCTAAACAATTATAACTAATACTAGGCCTCCCATTATTTCCTAAGTGGCTGTGGGACCAGCAGGCAGGAGAGAAACCTCCAGTTACACCTCACCACCTTCCTTCCAGGTCCCGAGTCCATGAGCCACATGGGCTGGGTAACTTGTGAGGTCCTCATCGGCAGTGCCAGTGGGAGCAGAGCTCGGCCAGGATTCTCCACAGTAGGCTGCTCCCAGGCCTTCTGTGACAGTCAAGCCCCGGGCATAGCTAGAACACGCTGGAACCTAATACATCTGCCACACTCTTCAAACCAGAGTTCAGGCTGACAGCAGGTGAAGGCCCCTTCAAAGTGCCAGAGTGACTTGTGGAGAAGGTGGGGCGATCCCTGAGTTTGTGGAATTCATGCCAGCCTTGTGGGCAGGCCCTGGGCACAGGACTCTCCTGCTGGTCCTGAGGGTGCGAGGACACACTGTCTGCAAATTCAACACTGCAGATGAGACACTTGGACCTCAGGATGCCTGGGGTGGCCAAGGAAGTCAAAAAACTGTCATTAATACTGATCCCTTCTTTGCCTTTACCACTCGCTGCCTCCTGCACATGCTCTGCTTCTCAGAAGGCTCAAGGGAGGAGGGTACCACAGTCCTGCAGAGGCCCCCTCACACTCAGTATGCCAGAGCTGGCCAAAGGAGAAGCGTGTCTTTCTCAAGACTTAGCTTGGGGGGTAAGGGAGTCGGGAGGGAGCTGGAGAGATGGCTCAGAGGTTAAGAGCACTGGCTGCTGCTCTTCCAGAGGACCTGGGTTCAATTCCCAGCACCCACATAGCAGCTCACAACTGTCTATAGCTCCAGTTCCAGCACCCTCACACAGGTATACATGTAGGCAAAACACCAATTTGCATAAAATAAAAATAAGTAAATAAAAAAAAAAAGGCTTAGCTTGGTGGTGAAGGACTTGCCTAGCATATACAAAGCCCTGGGCTTGACCCCCAGCATTGAAAAAAGAAAAAGAAACCCGCAGTCAAAAAACTTAAATCCAGGGGGCTGGAGAGATGGCTCAGTGGTTAAGAGCATTGCCTGCTCTTCTGAAGGTCCTGAGTTCAATTCCCAGCAACCGCATGGTGGCTCACAATCATCTGTAATGAGGTCTGGCCTGCAGGCATATACACAGACATAACATTGTATGCATAATAAATAAATAAATAAACATTTAAAAAAAAACTTAAATCCAAACCCATACTATTATTCATTTCAAACAAATCCTTTTCAGTTTTTAATTTTTGTTATGGGAAGCAGTAACAAGAAGGAAAGACCTCTAAGACCCAGGACTCTGAGAACCACTGCTTAGAAGAAGGACAATGTGTTGACTCAAATGATAGGCCTGCAGCAGACACATCTGACCCAACTCTGGTCCTATCTTCATTGGCGTAGAGCAATGGAAACACTTGGCCCCTGTGCCACAGGCCCCAGGCTTACAAAGTCAGGACACAGCAGCAGACCTGCTCGCTCAGGCTGGCTCCAAGAGCTCAGCCCTGGCCTGTGCTGAGTCCAGGAAAGAGATCAGGCGTACGATGCTGCCCAGATCTGCTACCAAGGTGGCCCCAGGGAACGGGGAGGAAGGGGGAACCAGGACACCGCCTGAAGCATCTGCTTCCACCTCCTGCTTCCCAGGAAAGCTACAGGGCCTCCTGGACGTGT